CACAGCAGCTTCCCAGGTGCGCAGGGGCCATGCTCACAGAGATGTCTGAGGAAGCAGCCACTCACGCCTCCGCGGACCCCTCAGCGGGGCCACCGGTCCTGGCCTGGTCGCGTTACAGCCCCTTCCGTGTTCTGGAAACAAGTCCCGTCGAGTACGTGTCGTGCAAGTACCTGACCCACCCACCCACCGCGGGCGGCCTCCCTGCTTCCCTGCCAGTGTCCTCTGAAGCACAGGAGGTCTCGCCCTGGGCGAGGGCTCCCCGTCCATCCTCTCTCCCCGCGTGCTTTCAGAGGCGGCTCTAAGTGTCCACCAAGCACAGGGCTGAGGACACAGCCGTGTCCTTCCAAGCCTCTGATCCACGTCGTGCCAGCGTGTGTACCCGGTGGGAGACCCGGGTCATAGCCTGTGACCCGGGCTATGACTCGGGTCCGGCCTCAGTGCTGGGTGTGTGGCTTCTGGGGACTCAGCAACGAGCCCAGCTCCCACCCCAGCTCCCACCCGCACACAAGGCCTCCCCAGCGTTTGCCCCTGGGCTGGGCTTCGTGGGCCGGGCGCCCAGGCCGCGGCTGGGACACGTGCATCACTCACTGCTGGGACGCATGGGAGGGGGATGGCACTTCCCTGAGCTGGACACAGCATGCAACAGGGCAGAGAGGCCTTGAGGTGTCGTATCCCACGTGGAAAGCCCACGGCGTCTGGGCTGTGGATGGCAATGAGGGGCCTGCAGACGAGACCTTCCATCCGTCACAGGGGCGTCGGGCACCCCAGCCCCCAGGCAAGGACAGGCAGCGTCCCGGGCTCTGGTCAGCTGCGTCACTCAGGGGGTCCCGGCATGGCCGGCGGGGAGCCCAGCTGGACAGCACTGAAGGGACCCGTGGCGTCCTCGGAGCCTCTCGGGGCCATGTGCCAGCTCCAGTCACCTCCTGCTCCCCCGGCGGTGGCAGGATGTGTGGGGCTCACAGGCCCCCCCCCGCCAGGCTCCCAGGGTCATGCCTCCGGCTCTGCAAGCAGCCTGCTTTGCGCCCGCCTGCCTGCGCCCTCAGCACCCACTCCTTTTATGACTCCTCTCCACAGTCTGATGAGAAGCCAGCTGATGGAGGACGACTCGCTGATGACAAAGACCGACGCTCCTTCCCTGAGATGGACAGGACGTTGGTGCCTTCTGCTACGCACTGGCAGGGCGAGGCCTGGGGCCAGGGCTGCAGGGCTCAGGGTCCTCAGGGTCCTCAGGGTTGTCAGTCCTCAGGGTCCTCAGGGTCCTCACAGTCCTCACGGTCCTCACGGTCCTCAGCGTCCTCAGGATCCTCACAGTCCTCATGGTCCTCAGGGTCTTCACGGTGCTCAAGGTCCTCAGGGTCCTCACTATCCTCAGGGTCCTTACGGTCCTCACAGTCCTCAAAGTCCTCACTCTCCTCAGGATCCTCAGAGATTCACTGTCTTCAGGATCCTCACAGTCCTCCCTGTTCTCAGGGTCCTCACCATCCTCATGGTCCTAACGGTCCTCAGGGTCCTAACAGTCCTTAGGGTCCTCCAGGTCATCAGGGTCTTCACTGTCCCCAGGGTCCTCACAGTCCTCATGGTCCTCACGGTCCTCAGGGTCCTCACGGTCCTCAGGGTCCTCAAGGTCCTCAGGGTCCTCACGGTCCTCGTGATCCTCAAGGTCCTCACAGTCCTCATGGTCCTCACCACCCTCAGGGTCCTCACCACCCTCAGGGTCCTCACGGTCCTCAGGGTCCTCACAGTCCTCAAAGTCCTCACTGTCCTCAGGGTCCTCAGAGATTCACTGTCGTGAGGATCCTCACAGTCCTCCCTGTCCTCAGGGTCCTCACAGTCCTCGGGGTCTTCCCGGTCAGGGTACTCATGGTCCTCACAGTCCTCCTTGTCCTCATATTCCTCACTGTCCTCATGGTCCTCTGAGTCCTCAGGGTCCTCTCGGTCCTCAGGGTCCTCATGGTCATCATAGCAGCTCCACGAGGTTCTGCCAATGGGGGACAGAGGTGCTCAGGGCCCCACAGAGCCATGGGCATGACTGTGGTGTCCACGAGCGGGACATCCTGGAGGCGAGCCGGGGCTCCCGTATTTGTGCGTGAGGCCGCAGGGCCTTGCAGGGAGGACTGCAGTTTGCTTCAGGGCCTCCTGTCCTGACTGCTAAGTTGGAAGGACTCCCTGCAGGCCTAGTGGGTCACGGCGCTGCCACGTACAGGCCGGGGGGGCGTCCGCCTGGACACGCCTGGGGCCCAGGACGCAGCCAGGAGTTGCCCCTACCTTCAGGATGCCAGTCTTCCCCGGCGAGCTCCCCTTCACTTCTCAAAACCCCGCTCCAACGCTCCCTTGTGCATGCAACTTTGCCAGGGCCCTGGACAGGAGGAGACGGCTGCCGCGGGGTCCTGCAGCCCCTGCCCCACAATCCGGCCCGGCCCCGCGGCGCCGCGCCCTCTGGGTATCAGGGATTTCAGGTCAATCGCCCAGGAGAACACGCTGATCCAAACGAGTGAATGAGCCAACGGGCCAATTGCTAAATGAACACATCGGTGCAGACGTGGGTGCCTCCACGTGTCCAAGCTGCCCTGCTCAGCGAACGGTAGGGTCTGCACAGACTGTCCCCGTGGAAACCCAGCTCACGTGGATCCCAACCAGCCCAGCGAGGCTCAGGGCTTCTCTTTAGCGGCCATGATCACACGTGAGGAAACACCGCGCACACAGAGCAGAAAACAGCAAAGCAAAAATTGAGACACGAGCCGAGAAAATGCGCAGCGCGCAGAACGCGAGCCGACAAATGTGTCCGGCCCCCCTGGAAGCGCCAGGTTTCAACCTGGGTCTCCGGACCGGCTCCTGAGCGGGGAGGCTGGCGGGAGGGGCAGGAGCACGGCCTCAGCGAGCAGACCCAGGTTCCCTTAGACTCGAGCCTGACGCCAGCTCTCCCTCAGGCTCACGGGACCAGCAAGGGGCCGGGGGGCAGGGGCGGCACTGGGAGCTTCCACCTGGGCAACACCGGGCAGCACCGGGCAGCGTGGGCGAGGAGGCGCGCTCGCGTCACGGCCAGCTTGGTCCAGTTTCGAGAGTCGGACAGCGCGGGACACACGGAGATGCACGCAGTTCCCCAGGAGTTGGGGGGGCTGCCCAATTGCACCCAGGGATCCGGTCGGCAGCACCCGGCTCCAGAATCCACAGGGCCCCCCTGAAGTAGCCGCGCACCTGCTGGCTGCTTTGCACGCCTTTCGTGGGATGCCAACTGGTCGGTGTTTTTAATGAGGACAGACTATGCATCCTAAAAACCAAACTGGCTCCGTGACGAGCCCCTCAGAGCGCCAGATCCTTAAGACACTCCCACTTGCCTGCACCCTGACACCAGAATTTCCAAGGACCCATCGAAGCTGGTGGTGCACGGCAGGTGGCAGGTGGCCACGGGGACTAGAAGGCAGCTGACATAGGGCCTGGGGTGGGTGGGCCAGCCAGAAGCCCGCTGGGCGTCCAGGGCACTGTGGGTGCTGCAGGGCCCCTGGGCCAGGAGGAGATACCAGTTTGGCCCTCGAGGTGGGTGCCCGGGGCACTGTGGGTCTGTAGGTGCATAGGGCACCTGGGCCAGGCATCCCTGGACAGGTCTCCCCACCCCGCCACCTGCCCTGCCAGAGGCCCAGAGGAGCTGAGCTCCAGAGCTGACTCACTGCCCCCCACGGCCCCAGGCCATCCTAGGACAGGCTCATCGGTGACACTGGGCAGGGGCCCCCATCCAACCTGTCTCCATCACCCAAGGTGGCCTCGTGCCTCTACTATTCCCTTTCCAGGGGGGCCTCTGTGGCTGTGGGGGCTGCCTGGGGTCCACCTAGACCGTTGGGAAGCCTGCTCTGGTGACACTAGAGTCTTCACCCCTGAGGTGCCCCCCCCCCCCCGCCGACTGCAAGTAGATTCCAGAGCTCCCGTGCTCTGAACCCCGAGGATGTCCCGGCCGCACGCTCGGCACTTGCTGTCATTCATCGGGTGACCTCATGAGGGCTGCAAAGGTCCCCATGTCAGAGGTCAGCAGGATGTGGGCTCCAGGCTAAGCAGCTGGTTTGAACCGGGGAGGTGCCCAGGGCCCCACGCAGAGGCTGCTGGGGAGTGACAGGCACGGCTGGGCCCTGGCACCCGGCTGCCGCGTCCTGCTGCGATCACACCTCCCGCAGGCCCCTGACACCAGGGCCTCATGCATCCCTGCGTGGGCACCCCCACCCCAAGGAGCCCACAGCTGCCGTTGGCATGGCCTCAGGAGCCCCCAGGCCGCCTGCTCCGGTCACAGGAATCGGCCCAGCTCCGATGTGCTCCCCGTGGGGAGCCCCCCGCCCCACTGTGGCCGCAGGAGGCCGGGTCTCACTGGACCACACGCCGTGGCCTCGTCTGCCAGCGCATGTCCCCCGGATGGCGCAGCTGCTCTGACGCCCTGGTGGGGGCCTCCCTGCACCCTTTCAGGAACACCCTTGATTCTGCTGCCAAGATAATCTCCAGAGGCACCACCTCACGAGGCGCTTTAGTTCTGCGAGGATGTTAACAGGGCACATCTCAGCAGTCAGACGTCTGACTCCGGTGGCCATGGGGGGGCGACCATGTCCTGCCAGCCACCGGAGGGGACCCCCCCCCCGCCGTGGGTGCCTGACGCCTGCCACACCCAGAGCAGGGGCGGCCCACCCTCCTGCGGGTGGCCTCAGCCAGAAGCCACAGGCGATGGACGCAGCGGTGTCCTGATCCCCAGGCCTTCCTGCCCCGGCATGGCCTCCGCTCCCCTCTGCCCACAGCGACACAAGGGGCAAGTCCCCGTGGGCATGCCCGGGACCCTGGCTCCCTGCGCCCGCAGCTCCCCAGACACCACATGTGCAGACAAGCCCATGCTGCCTGGGGGTGCAACCACCCCACGGGACTGGCCACCCGAGGCCTGACCCAGAGAACGGGGGCCTCCTCAGACACCCTGGGCCGGGGGCAGGACGGGCTGTGTCAGGCGGCATGGGTGGCCGGCTGTGGGCTCTTACCGTCGACGCAGGCAGGCCGGGCTCTCGTGGTGCCCGCGATCTGCCCCTTTCTGCAGGCACAGCGAGCCGTCTGCCGGGCGATCGTCCTCCGGGGCTGGCTGCTGTCCCGGTCCAGGGTCACAATCTCACAGGTGCCGGCGGCCAGCTGACCTGCAAGAGAGGCACAGGCGTGGGCTGAGTGTCGGGGCTGGGGGACGCGCCGCCCGCCCTCCCACCCTCGGGAGCACGTCTCAGACACCCGAAAGGACGCGGCGCTAACACGTTCTGTGAGCGCCAGTGCCAGGTCAGGCCCGCGACCCCCACTTCACACGCTTACACGGCGGCATTCGAGGCCCCGCCCGGCAGACAGGAAATTAAATGGGGCCCCACCAGCCACACCCGGAAATGAAAGGTCCTCATCGCGCTGTCAGGCATCTGATGGAAGGATCCAGACCACACAGAGCACAGCCGTGGAATCCGCAGGGCCCCGGTCTCCCCGCCCACCTGGCCCGCAGGTGGTGGATGCAGCAAAGACCCCCTCCTGGGCCTGCCAACTGTGCAGGCCGCCCCATGGGAGGGAACAGCTCCCGGGTGGCACGGGGCTGGCGGGGAGCGGCAGGGACACACACAGGCCACCACCGCGTGTGGGCTGCACACGCAGGCACTGGTCGCACCCCTCACGCCTGCTTTCCCACGTGGACGCTGCCCCAGCCCTGAAGGATGGGGGCACAGGATGGGGGACGGCGGGGCCCCATGGCCTTGGTCGGCCTCGGGGACAGCACAGCACGCGGAGGACGGATGCACTGACCATGAAGCTGACCAGTGAACCCATTTAAGCAGCGCCCCTGCCCCTCCTGTCTGGCCGAGGTCCACAGGGCCCCCGCCCGGCACAGGGACAAACCTGCCTCCTGCCTGGACACTGGCGCGGCTCCACAACGGCCCGCTGCTAACTCGGATGGTAAAGACGGCGCCAGCGCTGGACGGAGGGGGGTCCCCTTGTGGGAGATGAGGCTGTCCTTGCTCCATGCCGCTGCCCCAGTGCACCCCCAGGCTGCGACCCCGGCTGCCCCCTGCACGTCCACGCTGGAGAGCCCCCACAGGTCCTGTGCACTCATGGCCCCGCCTGGCACCTGTGTCACCCGCAGGCACCCAGCCCAGCCAAGGATCACGCACATTGGCAGGACGCATCACATGGAGTGACCACCCACCCCGTCGGCCAGGAGCTGCCCGGGCCACCTCGACCCCTGGGGGCGCAGGGTCAGGGTGAGAGCCCCGAGCCACAGGGGCATCGGTGGGGGGCACAGGGCATGCCCGGCCCTGGGCTCAGCGCGGTGAGCAGAGCCTGTGTGGACGGCACACGCGGTTTGCGAGGTGCACGGTACAGGTGCAGGGCAAAGGGGCAAGCCAGCGGGGCCCTCCTGGGCAACTCCTCCCCGAGCCGTGAGGACCCTGACCGGGGGCTGTGCCCCAGCGCCCCCTCCCTGGACGGCTTGGCCGCACTCCTGGGCCTCCATCAGCTAACAACACAAAGAATTACATACCGCACAGAAAATGAGGCAAAAATAAACAGGGTGAGTAGATAAATGCACGCAGCAGAGAGAGGGTCCTCGGGATGGAGAGGGGGCGCCTCCTGTGACAAGAGCAGTGAAAGCCCCGGAGACGAGTTCAGGGGCAGCAGGCGACTGAGCTGGTCCGTAAGCGTGGCAGACGACGCTGGACTCGCGGCCCGGGGGACGCTGTGATGGGCGGCTGGGCGCTGCTGGCCCGCCTCCAGGCCCTTTGTGGGCAGCAGAGGTGCAGGTCCGGGGGACTGGCCCCCCTTCCCTGGACACCATGAGTCCCGCTTGCTAATGAAGCCACAGACCAGCCCTGCGACTCCCCGACCGAGGCGCTCACCAGCCAGTGGCCACCCCTGCCCCAGAGCCCTGAGACGCCTGCGCCTGGGCCCCCGCACGTCAAGGGGTGGCCAGGTGGGGCCAGAGCAGGGGCCTGATGGGGTCTGCACGTCCCAAAGTGCCCTCGCCCAGGGAGGCCGTGGCCATGCCGACCTGACCCCATCATCCCCCGGGTGCCCCCATTCTGGGCCACACCCTGGAGCAGTGGTGCTGGGTGAGGGGTGACCCGGACCCCCAGGAGCCCCCAAATGCTCTGTGTGTGCGTCCGCTCGGAGATGTGACCCAGGGCAGGGGCCTCAGACGGCAGGTCCACGTGCCAGGCTGCCTGGGAAGGGGCACAGCCTTGCCCTCTCCCAGGGATGGGCCCAGGTGCCTGCAGGACATGACCCCCTGCCCCCACCCGTGCCCGTCCACAGCTGCAGGGAGCCCGCCCCGCCTCCTTCCTCAGCAGGCATCCCACCGTGCCTCTGCTCGAGCGCGTCCCCGGCTGCCCGGCCACCCGTGTCACAGCCACGCAGACCACCCCCTTCCCCTTGCCTAGAGCACGGTTGCGAGGCCCGACCACACGGGGCCACTGCGCACACAGGGGGTCAGGACGTGAGCGTGGCCCCTGGGGCACCACTCAGCCCTCGGACAGAAGGAGGAAAACCAGCCCCTGAGAACACAGGAATGCCCGACGTGGGACGATGACAATGTGCGGGGTGCACACTCCCCAGGATGGCCTGTATTCCAGATGCCACTGCAGCGGGACCCCACGGCATCCCAGTCGGGCGTCGGCAGGAGCACGTGGAGGCTTCTGGGGCTGCATTAGGGGCGGCCCTCCCCGCCTGCCCTTGCTGAGAACCACGCTGGAGGCCCCTGGACGGGGCAGGTGCAGTGATGGTAGGACGGGGACCGGGACCCAGGGACAGGAGGGCCTACAGTAGGGAGGAGCTCCAGGGACACCCCGTAGACTCGGGTCCTGTGCGGGCAGAACCGGCGTGCCTCACCACGCCCATCTCTGGGCGGGGGCACAGAAGCAGACCATGGTCACCTGTGCTGGACAAAGGCCCCTTGCACTTCATCTGGCCGGTGTCACTTCCCAAGCTGACCTCGACCACACAGGCCCTCCAGCACCCGCAGGCCACACCAAGACCAGAGGCAGCACTTCCTGCCCCCGGGGGATCCCAGGCAGGGACATCAGGGCCCCAGCTCGGTGGAGGCACCTCTCGCCCTCCCTGAGCCTCTGTCCCTGCCTAGGCGGTGGGACTAACAAGGCTGAGACCACAGCAGGCAGCCTCTCCGCCCCATGCCCGGGGCTGTGGCTTGGGCGCCTCCCACCTGCATCTCCCCACGAACCCCAGTGAGGCAGAGGACACCTCGGGAACGAGGCTACCCAGGCGCAGCTGTCCTAACGATCAAGGGGACAGTGCCCAGCAGCACCACGGGACACCCAGGGCTGCAGGTGGGCACCCTACCCACCGGCACAGTGGGGCCTGCAGGCGGGACCCATGTCATCATGCCCGGGGCACATGGAAGGTGCCCCTGCCAGGGACGGCCAGCTCCCCAGCACGTGCTGGCTACAGGGACAGGAGATGGAGGGGCTCCCTCGCTGCAGGGGCAGCAGCACCGCTAACCCTCCTGTGTTGGGAGGACCCATGCTCGGGACGCCCCGGATGGTTCAGGAAGGATGGATCTTTGGAAACCGTGTGCGGCCCCCTCTGCAGGGCCTTCTCTGGGCAGCACGGGCAGCGCCCAGATCAAGCTGTGGGTCAGCAAAGCATGTTTCCCAGGCTTGGCGTGCATCCTCTGGGGTCCAGGGAGCCACGCATCTCAGGGCTGGTTACTTAGGAGGGGCGGCCGGTGCATGCTGGGGGCCGCGGGGGGCACAGGCCTCAGGACGGCCACGGAGTCCAGCGAAGGTAACTCCACAGATGAGCTCCGCAGCCAGGATCACTGGGAGCCCGATACGCAAACAGGGAGCGTAGACTCGGGCCTCACACCATCCGCAAAAATCAACTCGGAATGGGGATTAAGTAAGAAAAGGCAATAATGTAAAGCTTCTAGAATGGGATCCCTGGGGGGCTGCATGGTTGAGCATCTGCCTTTGGCTCAGGGCGTGACCCCAGGTCCTGGGACTGAGTCCTGCGCGGGGAGCCTGCTTCTCCCTCTGCCCGTGTCTCTGCCTCTCTCTGTGTGTGTCTCATGAATAAATAAATGCAACCTTAAAAAAAAAAAAAAGCTTCTAGAAGACAGCATAGAAAATCTACGTGAACTTCAGTTTGGCAGTGAGCTGTTACATACACGCCGATCACGCGCTCTGGGAAGGCTTTACTGACGTCGAACGCCCCTGTGCTGGGGGGGCACCGCCCAGAGCACAGAAGGGAGAGAATCCTTGCAAACCGCACACACCTGACATCGGGCTCGTGTCTGGAAGGTGCGTGGACCTGAAAGCTCAACTGAAAGAGAATCGATGACGCAGTGAAAATGGGCACAAGCGCCGACGACGGAGCTCCCCCCAGGACGGCCCAGGAGAACCTCGAATGCGTGTCGCTCGGCAGAAGCCGGTGTGAGAAGCTGCATGTGGGGGATCACAGCCCTGTGACGTCCCGGAAGAAACCATCTCACAGGGAAAATGATAATTGTGGCGGCGGCCAGTGTGCAAGGAAGGAAAGAGGGAGGGAGGGAGGGGTAGTTCGGCGAAGCTCAGAGATGCTTGCGTCCAGGGGCCTATTCAGGGGACGCTTGCTGTAACGGGACACGAAGCACCTTGCACCTGCCGGAAGCTGCATTACGTCAACGCAACAAGTGACCTCGAACATGCAGACGTGAGGATCCCGGAACGGTGTCCAGATGCTGCTGGCAGCATCCAGCCACGTTAGAGGCTCAGCGGTGGAACGTCTGCCTTCAGCCCCGGGCGGGATCCTGGGGTCCCCAGATCGAGTCCCACATCGGGCTCCCTGCATGGCACCTGCTTCTCCCTCTGCCTGTGTCTCTGCTTCTCTCTCTCTGTCTCTCTTGAATAAATAAATAAAATCTTTAAAAAAAAATGGAAGGACACAGCCTGTTGCACCCTGTGTGTGCTCAACACACGTACAAAATCGGCGATGAGTGAGGCTGAGGCACGGGCCCCAGGGTTCCCAGGGGCTCCCAGGGGTTTCCAGGGGCCAAGGCCAAGGCACTTGAGCAACCAGATAAATAAAGCAGCAGCGGATCTGACTCAAAACACTCCCCACTGATGCCAATGCCCGTAAATGGGGGGGGGGGCATCATCAAATAGGTAGGAGGTAAGGAAAT